CGGATATGATAATTCACATCGCGTCTGCAGTGCAAGTAAATGCACCGCCTCGACTCACCAAAACATTAACGTCTACACAACACGGCGATGCTTATAGATGATGCTTCATTCCATTCATGGAGGTTTCTGAACAACATCTCACCAGTGGAGTAGTCATGAGAGCTTTATACAAAAATAATCAATCCTCAAACATAAAGCTCTGTCTTATGCAGTGCTGCCTTATGGGAGGATGGGAGGAACATCAGTGAAGTCGCCAATCGGAGGCGCACTGGTAACTACCGGAGCTCCAGTGCTAGTAGCCTCCATCATAGAGGATTCAGTGGTGGACACCATTGAAGAGGCTCCAGTAGTCATAGACTCAGTCAGGGTGGCTGTAGGAGTTGTAGACTCATCCACAGGAGCTTCAGTTGTGGACTCGTTTACAGGGGCCTCAGTAGTGGACTCACCAACAGAGGCTTCAGTAGTAGACTCGTCTACAGGAGATTCAGTAGTAGACCCGTCTACAGGGGCCTCAGTAGTGGACTCACCAACAGAGGCTTCAGTAGTAGACCCGTCTACAGGGGCCTCAGTAGTGGATTCATCTACAGAGGCTTCACTAGTGGACTCATCTACAGGGGCCTCAGTAGTGGACTCATCTACAGGGGCTTCACTAGTGGACTCGTCTATAGGGGCTCCAGTAGTAAACTCATCTGCAGGGGCTTCAGTAGTAGCCTCAACCATAGGTGCTTCAGTAGTAGACTCGTCTACAGGAGATTCAGTAGTAGACCCGTCTACAGGGGCCTCAGTAGTGGACTCACCAACAGAGGCTTCAGTAGTGGACTCATCTACAGGGGCCTCAGTAGTGGACTCATCTACAGGGGCTTCACTAGTGGACTCGTCTATAGGGGCTCCAATAGTAAACTCATCTGCAGGGGCTTCAGTAGTAGCCTCACCCATAGGTGCTTCAGTAGTAGACTCGTCTACAGGAGATTCAGTAGTAGACCCGTCTACAGGGGCCTCAGTAGTGGACTCACCAACAGAGGCTTTAGTATTGGACTCGTCTACAGGGGCTTCAGTAGTAGACTCATCTACAGGGGCTTCAGTAGTGGACTCGTCTACAGGAGCCTCAGTAGTAGCCTCACCTACAGGGGCTCCACTAGTGGACTCGTCTACAGGGGCTTCAGTAGTAGCCTCACCTATAGGTGCTTCAGTAGTGGACTCACCAACAGGGGTTTCAGTGGTAGCCGCATCTACAGGGGCCTCAGTAGTGGACTCTTCCATAGTGGCCTCAGTAGTGGACTCGTCTACAGGGGATTTAGTGGTACCCTCATCTACAGGGGCCTCAGTAGTAGACTCGTCTACAGGGGCCTCAGTAGCAGACTCGTCTACAGGGGCCTCAGTAGTAGACTCGTCTACAGGGGCCTCAGTAGCAGACTCGTCTACAGGAACTTCAGTAGTAGACTCATCCACTGGGGCTTCAGTAGTAGAACCGTCTACAGGGGCCTCGGTAGTAGACTCACCAACAGGAGCTTCAGTAGTGGACTCGGCTACAGGAGCCTCAGTAGTAGACTCTTCCATAGTGGCCTCAGTAGTAGAGTCATCTACAGCGGCCTCAGTAGTAAACTCTTCAGTAGTAGACTCGCCTACAGGGGTCTCAGTAGTAGACTCGCCTACAGGGGCTTCAGTAGTGGACTCGTCTACAGGAGCCTCAGTAGTGGACTCACCAACAGGGGCTTCAGTAGAAGACTCATCTACAGGGGCTTCGGTAGTAGCCTCACCTACAGGAGCTTCAGTAGTGGACTCGTCTATAGGGGCGCCAGTAGTAGACTCATCTACAGGAGATTCAGTAGTGGACTCGCCTACAGGTGCTTCAGTAGTGGACTCGTCTACAGGGGCTTCAGTAGTAGCCGCATCTACAGGGGCCTCAGTAGTGGACAATTCTACAGGGGCTTCAGTAGTAGATTCTTCTACAGGGGCCTCGGTAGTAGTAGACTCTGCAGCGCCCCCGTCCCCGGCATCTCTGGTGTTTCCGTAGTATCATGGGGAGGGTATGGTGTTGTAGCCGTGAGGACGGAATGGTCGAAGCTGAGCTCAATAGTCGAGTCCTCAACCCGGTAGGTGTCGTCAACGGTATACATCGGGCCGTAGTCGCCAAAAACGCAAAAGCCGCCACATCCCCTCTCAATCTTCGCCGTAGTGGACTGCATACCGCGTTGGACTCCCCTCCACTGGAGGATGAATGGGAGGCCGTGAGCGAGGACCTTAACGCGGTATCCCCGCATGTAACCAGAACGCTTCCTCATGGCGAGGAGAACATCGCCGGACGTTACCCACACAGGATCCCTCTTCTTAGGTTGATCAGCAGAATACCATGTCTTATACTTACCATCAAAGACGACACAATGAAGCCTCTCATCACCAAACTGATGCATCAGATACCAGGCGCCATCGCCACCAGCGGGACCAAAGCAAGGAACAGCCGTCTGACCCCATGGGAGGTAGATGTTAGCCCGGGCCTTGGCCGTCAAAGTGACGTGATGATAATCCTCGTCCCGGCCGTGCTCACCATCCACCGGCTTGGGTGTGGTGGTTGCTTCCTCACCTACTGAATGATTTCCAGTCATCATGTCAGGTTCGACAGGAAGAGGACGGAAGTAATAGGCGCTGATGTACGCATTGCCGACACCATTGTACATCTTCACGGTCGGGTAGTAACCAAACCAATGCCCAAAGGTGCCTCCGTGGACACCAACGGTGAGATAACGGAAGTCCTCATCGTTGACGTTGTACTCTTTCGTCTTGGCGTAAACCGTCACGTCGGTGGCGACGCTGTCATATTCGTCCAATTTGAAGTCACCCGAGTAAACCCCAAACTTGGTAGTCTTCCGGGTATCAAAGAAGTCACCCGGCATAATATCAGTAATATCGCCAACGGCACTCGGCATGAAGTCCGCGGCCTCGCTATGGACACCACCCATACCGTGGTGGAATAGGTAATGAAGCATTTGAAAGAAATCCTCATGATCGCCGTTGTCAGTCGGTGGCTGTGGAGGCTTCGTCGGCAAGATGCTCTCTTCAGACGGCTTGTGGTCATCGGCAGCTGCCTGCCAAAGGACGATGGAAAAGAGAGCAAAGCGGATCATAGGAGGAAAGACTGAGAATACCGGCTACACTGCTT